TATCCAAAAAAATATTTGGAGCAAGAACAAAAGAGAATGTCCCCAATTTTTAATCCACCACAGGGTCTCAGGATGCAGTAGTTAAAATCATAAATTTTTCTTCTTGTGCTGAAATGAGAGAGCTTTTCTGGATGGACCAAGCACTAGATACTGGTATGTGGACAGTCGCAATAATGCATTTCTTATTAACAACAAGACCATCGATCTGACGTGAATGAAATAATGCCTTCTTAGGTGAACATAGTTGCTGAGCAAATCCGAAATTCACCAAACTTATACTCTTATATACATACAAATGCACACGCATACAAACGTACGTACAAGCTTATACATGTACATATACTTAATATATGCATACGCGCACCCGCTCCAGTAACACATCACCAACATGGAATGCCCATACTATCTGCTCTGGCTTGGTATTCTTAGTATAAATATCATTTTTATAACTGTCGCATTACATCTATTTGTATGATGCAAACGTTCACTTACATACATTCAATCCTCAAACACGCGCGTATTAACCAACATTACACGGAAACATAAAAAAACCAAACAGATAAAAATTTATCATTTATCCTACTCCCTACGATTTGACTTTCAGACAGATTGCAGAAGGTAATAAAAAAAATGACCAATATGATGTTGCCTGATTTTCTTGGACTGACAGACAATTTCGCAAATACATTTTTTCAAGAAATAAATTGCACTCCGAAATTAAATAGGTGAGATGTCAAATGATCGAATTGGTTTTCGAAGCAGAAAAAGGTACATTTTTTCCACCAGCCGCTGTTGGAACTACAGTTATTGTCAGCTAAATAGAACATGCAAAAGGTGCAAATTTCCCAGTGGTAGCTGATAATTCCAATGAAACTGGTAAAGTGGGCCTATTTCAAAAGACGGAAAGCATCGGTCTGACTTCACTAATGCGAAAGCCGATCCCTCTACGATTCGTTTGTTCATTTCGATTGTAAATTGGTACTATTTGGCAAACTAGGGGATGGAACTGCTTTGATCCGGCTTTTTTAACAACCTCCTGGAGAGAATAGGTTGAGGGCGTCAACAAATATCTACGAAAAGGAAGTGGGAAAGAAGCTATGAGAAACATTTTGAAGCTTTGAATACTGAAATGGATTTAACATCAGTTGTAATGGTTTGAAATGAAAGGACAAGGACTGCCGAAACTGAGTTTAATAATAGAGTTAATAATGTTTATGCACTAAGCCACCATTCCAATAAAAAGGCTACTAGTTTAATGTAGGGAACCGCCTTCAACAACTATATGAAACCTCACGGGTGAGAGCGACCTAAACCAAAGAAGGATGAAGAAGCTGTATTAGTGGCGAGAAGAAACACGACGATGAAACAATGACTGATTAAAGTAACAAAGCACTCACAGACAAAATAAGTGGGTGGCTTTTACGTGCATAAAATGCTATCACTTTTTTGATGGGCAGCCAACAAATTGTAGTTGGTACTGCTCGTTGCACCATCCTTTAGCGAAACATACCGAACGGACCACCAAATCCAAATGGTCCAAATCCACCACCGTACATACCAAACCCACCATATGGTCCAAAGCCACCGAATGGTCCAAAGCCACCTCCACCATACGGTCCAAATCCGCCGCCATATGGTCCATATCCATACCAAGGACGATACCACGACCGGCCACAACACCTCTTGACACGTTCACTGCAAATTCAGCGAGATGAATTTGAATCTCGGGATGAAAAGGGCTCGGCATAGCTGCGCACAACATGTGAGAGCATCCCAGCAATGTTATTAACTGAAAGCCCAGACGTTCTTCTAATCTTGCTTAAGTTCTGCACGTTTGAAATAAGCTATTTGTTTTGCAGTTCGTTTTAATGTCGATGAGATGGTGGTTTGTGCAGTGCTGTCACCAAAGATACCACAGGTAGCTCTGCATCTTGTTCTGGAAAAGCGAGGCGCCGACACGCCTTTTTCAGTTTGCTTGTTAAGCAGTGCTGCACACCAACAGTCTTTTTCGTTTTGACAAAACTGCTGTCGAAAAAACCGCAATCATCCGAGTTTTGGCTTTGCTTATACGCTTGGAGCGATTGTCGAAAGTCAAGAATTTAATTCACTTGCCGACAATGATGGACCACGAAACAAAGGATTCACGGACCCCTCGCTGATGCTATTGGTCAGACTAGCCGTCAAGACTGGTAATTCATAAGGCTCTTTTCTTTCCCCTTTCTCTAGTAGAACAATTTCATCAATTTTTAAAAGCGTATTAAAAAAATTTCTTTATAGTTCTCACTACGATGACAAAAGTTAGCTAATAAGTGTAAAAAAAGTTGAATGAAACTCTTAACATGTCAGATTTTGTAGGATTTCTGAATTCGTCGTGCTACTTAGTAGCATTTCTTTGGCCTCTCACCTTCTTTCCCCTTCCCTTCTCCTAGAAGCAAATTTCTGAATCTATCACCATATTTAATTCACTATGAAAACGTAAGTGCGTACCATATATTTCCTACTACAAAATTCTCTGTTTTCTTTCAGACACACCACTGGGGAACTTTTGTGCGTACGTGCAGGTTCCTAATTCGTAAAAACTCTAAAACAAAGAATTTTAAAAAATCTAGATATTGTGT